TAGGGTATAAAGGGAGGCGTGGAAGCCTCCTGCAGTAATATCATTTGGTAATATAATTTGGTATTGCCGAATGCTCGGATTCCAATACAATTTAAGGGATCTAATTGATCCCCGTATATTTTACGGCGGGAGGCTTCCACGCCTCCCTTTACACCCTACGAAACTGAATTTTGCTTCCGAGTTTTTGGCCGCCACCATGCGCGGCCTAGCGGCGGTCGGCGAACTACTCAGAGGCTGGCGCTAGCTACGTCTCGCGCTTAGCGAAAATGATTTGTTGCAGTAACTAAGATAATTTCAGCAAAAATCGATTTGTTTTATGAACAAAGTAACGATTGCTCTTACACACGACTTCTTTGCTGCATTAGCAAATTTACTTCTTTAAAACGTTTAATTTTGTTCAGCAAACTATAGATTTGCTGAATCAACTAAATCAATTTTTTCCGTGTATATACAAACAGTATATGTATATCTGTATATGTGAATGTGTGATGAGAAGAGAAAATTATACGATTTTAAAACTTTAAATCAATGATTCAATTAAAATTCTAAAAGAGCAAGTAGAAAAAAGTGAGACGTTAGCCGAGTGTCGCCTTTGCGTCAAGCCGAGAGTCGCATTACCATACTGGTGAACTCTAAAAGCAATTATTCCTGCAAGATATTACAAAGGTAAAAGGATATCTGAAAAAAGATATCTGAGGTAACGAAGGATTAAGCGATTTCACGATTCGCAATAGGTGTGTTGCCTTTTCTTTCTTCAAAATCCCTGAAAGTCGTTACGTCAACAGAAATTGTAACGCTCTCTTACGGGAATTTATTACTCCCTTCTTCTTCTACTATCTATGACGGTATATTACTGAGAAACTACGCAGTTTCATTAAAACTTCACGCAGAAGGGAACTTTCAAGATATGATGTTACAGAAGATGCCGCATTCATCTTCGAAGCCTTTAAAATACATTCTTGCAGCATTTAATTTTATTAACGTCGGTAGTACGATGTAATCCTAAAAATATCACTTTTAAGAACTTTTTTTTAATTCGAGATAATTTATTCTCTTTTGCGAATATTATCCGTGAATTCAAAGTGCTTTTGCATCTTCTCTGTGAAGAATGAAATTTAAATATGACAAATACATCTTTAAATAATATTATTTCAAATCATTCATATTTACTAGTGCCACTATTTTCGACAAATTCCGGTGTTTATTTTATCATATCAACATTTTTAACATTATTTTACTGCATTCAAGGAATGTTTTCAGATGTACAAAAATAACTTTTAATTATGAAAACTCACATAGCTGATTGTAACAAAAAGGAATTGTAATCAAATCTGCCAATACAATGTGATTTGCAATAGTCTTCCTAAAAATATAATATTGATACGACGTATAATAAATTATTAATGGTGGATATATTTCCTCCGATCATAATTTTATACAATGTTCAGTAGAAGGTTTACTCTCGAAATTTTACTCACTAGAATTTAGCGATACGTGGAAGTGCGTGCGAAATGGAAGATGAGTTGCGGGTTGCGGTTCAGAACAAGATTAAATAGGCTCGCGGATATCACCCCGAGGGGCGACGTTCCATTTTCCAACCGGCTCGGCTGATTCGATCGTGAAACATGATTTTACAACACAGCGTAACCCGTTGGCATGTTTCCGTGATCTCAATGTAACTTGGCGGATTACCCCGCCAAGTCGTGTTTACATTGCGCGTTTACCTTCTGGCATCCTATTTTCCTGCGGGGCTCATTACTTCTCTTAAGCCCGACGCTCTCGCGACGTCGACGGTTTTGCAAACATCGCGGTTCGGATTAGAGGGACAATTTCGAAGCTTAAACGCAGCGCCTGATACCAGCGTCCATGCGAGTACTACATTTTGCGCCAGATGCATTCGGGTAACCGATTGCAATTAACAGCGGTTTACTGGAGAGCAACTGCGTTCGAGAACGCCACTCACAGATTGTACAATAGTTTATGTTGCATAAGAAGGAGAACAAATTACCGTGGTTGCGTCAGAGCGACAGCTCTTTGATTTTTCTTACTCTACTTTGTTAAATATAAATTTTATTATTTCTGAGAACTTCTCGCTGAATAATTACTTGCATTTGATGCAGTAACAATGAGCGTTTATTTAATGTAATTATAATGAGTCTGCACTTTTGCTTATAAGATATTTTGATTCAATGCGCAAATAATGAGGAGATATATTTATAAAATGTAATGCACGTAATAGATATCTCTTTTATATCAAGTACAGTGTCAGTTTTATTTATTAACTTAAAATTTCTTTAATTATACTCTGAAAAAATTAGTAGTTTTTTAATTGTGACTAACCCAAATGACAAAAACCTCGCGAGAAATCTTTTAAAGAAAAGTCTTCGGTAAAATTGTCAAAATATGTTTCTTAAAAATTCGCAGATTCTGGAATAGATATTTTATTCGCAATGCACGCATACACAATTTGCGTGGTGTAATATGGCGTAAATTTCACGGATTCACCGACGGATTTCTACTACTAATGCTATTATTAAAAAATAACTGCGAGAATATTCGGTTCTAGGACGATTCGCGAGATTGTTCATCAGACGAGATTGTTCACGCAATCGCGGTCCTAATCGCATCGCCGTCCAATTTATTGTTCGCGTATGTGTATTTTGCGTCGTCACGCAGTACCGCAGCGGAAATGCAGCTGGTCGCAGATTAATTTGCCCAACCCCTCGGCCCTTTGCCGGTTTCCTCCTCTAGGTCGACTCTCAATCGCAGGATCCCGGTATTTCAAATGAGATTCGGTTAATGTGCGGCTCACGAGGTAATGGACAAATGCCCCAACCGACCAGAAAGAGCTTGCGAGCCAGCCCCAAGTCGCCTCGAATCTCGTAATTACGCTCCACCAAGTCCACTTTAGGTCTTTTAGTCCCTCGGATCATGGCGGACACTTTTCAACGAACCACAGAATATCATGTCGGGATATTCGGTCTACGGAATTTCAGTTCCCGGCAGCACATTCGTACAGTATAATACCTTCCTTTAGGTTCAATAAATAATTATGACATAAATGTTATACCATTTAGAGATTTTTCAACTTTAATAATAATAGATCAGTAATTGCCAGTATAATAATAAAATTCCAAATTTTATTCGTAATATAAAGTATCGTAATATAAAGTTGAAAAACAGACTCGAGGATGTCATCTGTATACTGTTTTTGCGACAAATATTGAGAGTAAGGGAGGTCCAGGTTCAAACCCTGGCCGAGGTAATATTTTTCGCAATAAATTTTCTGCATCAACCGATTAATTAACAAATGTGGCCAGCTGTGGTCGAATGAAATTTGGAATTTTAATAATAATAGTTTGTATATTTTAATAATTCCATGGTAGTCATTAAAAATATCGCCATTTTCTCGCTGGAAGTTTGTAATTAGTGGGACGCAAAATGATTGATAATTCATAAATGATTCATGTATCCAAAACTTTCTAGAATAACGTTAAACATGGCTGGAAATCGATCGCTAATCTTTGCATAGGATACGTGTTTAAGTTTAAACGTAGTTGACGAGCAGTTTTCGAAAAGTTATAAAGTTTTACGTTGGAAAGTTCAGATGCCCTTAATGTGTTCGCGCAACATTTCAGCAAGTTGGCAATGCGATAGCTTTCTTGGCACAAGTTAAAATCTGGGTAATAAACTTCTATCCTAGCTTCCTATTTGCATTAGATGAAAAGCCAGACGATTTTTGCACTACGATGACACGAAATTGATCGGAAAGTAACATCTTTATATATCAAATTATTTTAAAGATTTATTAATTTTAGCCTGTGTCAGTTATATGATGCACATCTAATTTTATCTTCTCAATTTTTCACAGATGATTGCCTCGAGTCAACGGCGCGAGCCGAAATGTCGGGGCTGTGTAATATCTTAAGTACTCGACGAAGTACGATGACTCCTGCGGCGAGTGGAAATCTCTCGGGAGAATTGCGAAAAGGGTCTGGAGTCACAAATGGCCGTAGCCGAGAATCGATATTGCGACGTGACGAAGTACCGTAAAAGTTGCCGAAGTCGGAAGACCTTCCTTCGCGATGAGTCAGCCGGTGAACGGTATCTAGTCGATTTTCCGCGAGATCGATGCCAGTAGATTTTGAGGTGCATCGACGCAATTCGGTCCCTAAGAGCGAGCCAGGAAAGAATTTGAGGAGGAGCCGGCGATGACACATTCGGTCGTTTGAAAAATCAATATCAGCGTTCACGCAGAAAACGACGAAAGGGCCACTGCATCAACGATCAAAATGAGTTTCTTCAGCTCTCTGCAGGAATACGTAACGAACAGCGTGGCTGGTTTTAGCCTGAGTCCAAAAAGGTTCTCCTTCAGTCGTGATGACTCGAAGGGTGATGCCAGCGGGACCGGGAGAAGTGGTTCTACCGGAAGCGTCACCTCGACGACCAACACCAGCACGGCTGCTGCTCAGCAAGCTACGCCACATGGTTTCCCCAAGGTATGTGCTTAGATTGGGGAACGCGCTTGGAAGGTGTCGCGGAATGAACGACGAATCTCGTATTACGTAAAGAATTATTTCACGCCAGTAATTGATTAACCAACGTAGAAAATTGCATGAAGACCCACGACTGGCAAATTCTTTCTTTAGAATTTCTTTAATTACAATTTGCCAGCCATGGGTCGTCATGCAACTTTCGAAATCTGGTATTAGATCATTTATTTCTAGATAATCTATTATTCTAATATAAAGTATGATTTTTAACTATATTTCCTTATAAGATTTTAATTGCTTAAAATAAAGTAGAAAATAAGATATTACTCGCTAAATAATGATTATTTCTATTTCTAGGCCATTTTAACTCATTACTGATAATGTAATGATTAAAGCACTGAGAGCACGTTATTATACTAGTTTTTTATCGTTGCAGCAAGAAACAAATTTAGTGAGCTTCATGAATCAATAATTTATTGCGTTTATTGCATGAGCAACCGCGCTTAATCCTCAGCAAACTTATTGTATTTTAATGATTGTTAAATTTGCTTATTAATTAAATCAATATGCGGGTCAGAAATTGCACATACGAGTCTATAATTCTGATTGAGAAATAACAGTAATAAACATAAACTATTATAATTAAACTGCATACAAAATATTGTAGCAAATAGATATTATTTTTAGGTAAGTAAAAAATCATATTTCGCGAATTATTTCAACCACTGCATGATCTTATTAATAAACGAATAATTTCTAATACATATTCCAATAATTGCATGTTATTTTGTGAATGGCAAGAATTTGATAAGATTTCAGAGAAATGCTCTAATTTCAATTCTTTCGGTTTATGTAACTTTTATTAGTTTGAATTAAGCTAGTAGTTCTATTAGCTGAGGTAACATTTATTTTCTCAGCGTCCAATCGAGCAATCGAAAAGCACGCAAATTTTCCCGAGTAAATAACGCGGTAAATTTCAATATAAATTCTAATAGGAAATCTAATTGTATGAAACTAAGATTAACTCCTTATAAGGAGTACAAGATCGACTAATGGACGACCATATTTTCTCTTGATTAAAGAAACCAAGAAAGGGGCGACACTAAAGAGGATGTATTACCATCCGAGAACGGACAAAGATGCGATCGTTGTTGTCCATTTAGCGGAAAAAATCGATTTATTGATTACCGATATGCACTAGAGGCAGTAATTAACCGCTTGTTACATCGGTGTTAATTTATGCAGACATAAAAAGTTTAATTCTCTTGCGACATTATTTTCCGATATTATCAATATTGGGAATATAAATTATATTTGGAGCAACATTAAGCATGCACCAGGCAAATTTTAACAATACGAAATTACGATTTCCGATTACAATCGGAATTTATTAATGTGCGACGCATCAATAGGAACGCGTTTCTCTAATAAGCATGACAGATATTATTATGCAAGCGAATGGAGACGTGTTTGCAGCGATAAATTATTGTATCCAACGCATAATAATGTATAGCTGCAATTTATTCGATATATTTAGAGCCAAGCATCATACATTTAAATGAACGAGCAAATGTGATTTATTAAATCTTATATGCATAAAAAAGGTCGATACGGGTAAACGTTTTTAATGAAACAATACCTTTATTAACGTCAGTGCTTTAATTGAAATGTCTATTACATTAGAATTGATGAACATGTCCTACAAAGAAAAACGTACTAAAATAATTATTAATTGTAATGTTGAATTTCTTCTGTTTTGCACAAACAGCATTTTCTATTTAAAATAGACATTTGAGTTACTTATAAATATTTATAATTAATAAATTAAATTAAAGTAATTTTTATGTATATCGATACAAATTTTAATTAACCCACATATTATACATTTAGATTATTGTTGTTATCACTTACATAAAACCTTGATTTATCAAATTAAAAATAAATACATTAAAGTTAAATAATTGTTAAACACACGGTAGTTATATTTATTATTTTCTTTGCAGAGCTGAATGAAATTTTGCGCAGCATCTTTGAATTCGTTTTATTTGTCTTTCAGGTCGTGCCACCGCCAGGCACCGTCACGTCGTCGCACACGCGCTCTCTTTCAGCACGTAGACGCACTCTCGAGTGCACTCCAGCTTCGGGATTGACGGTACATCCTGCGACAGGAAGTGGTGCCACATCACCGAGGCGAGTCGGCTCCTTTCGACGGAGCTGCGGATCCAGCGATCGACCGCCTCTTATGTTCTGCCGTCGTAGACCATCCTGGCCGGAGGTCGACATACAGGCCACTTCCGGGTAAGTACCCTGAGTAACGAGCGCGCATCTCACAGTGACAAGAAGTTGTCACACTTCCGATACGCACTCGAAATAAACTGCATATGGACTGCTATGAATTTCAAAATAAGTAGAATAAGAACGACATTCGTAATTAAGAGCAAGCGCACTATACATGAGTGATATATGTACTTGATACAAACATCTCAAAAGAAAGTTTCAAGATACAACATAACGATAATACACACGAATAACGAATGATCCTAATTATATCTAATGTATTCAATTAATAAGTAAAAGTTATTAATTGATCATGTCGTTATTATATATTATTAATTTTTATATCGTCAGAAAAACAAACACAATTCGCATGACTCTACGACTCACAAATTAGCAAGATTTACGAAGTTAGATATAATCAAAATGGGATTTCGAAGGAAGCTTATATTCGTCGGCAACGCACGACGGCATCCTTTACGCACCCCCGAGCAAATAATTTCGTTTGATTGCTCGTCGCATTCTCACGAATATTCCGAGATTCTCTTCGCACAATTTCAAATGTCTCAATCGGATTTCCAGTAAGACACTGCCTCTGTTGCGTGAGCTAGCCATTCAACGCTTTAATCCGGTTACGCTAGTGCTGTGCGCTGAGCTTTCCAGTTAACTACATCCTCATCCTCTGCTTCTATCGGAGAACGCTTTAGAGCGAGTCGCATGAGACTTTTAGCGCGCACACACGTTCTCTCTCTCTCTCTCTTAAAAAATTTCCATTACATTTGTAAATTATGACGAGCTGCAGTTTAAAAGACGTAGGAGAGAAGTACAAACAATGGTAGCATTTCCATCGCGGAATTTTGTGTGCATATTGCGGCGAATGCACTTTTAATAAGGCCGCCGCGATGCATCGCGACCTTTCTCTTAAGCTGCTTCGTTGCATATTCATAAGCGCAGCCGACCATTTAGTGCGAGCTGTTAATCTCTTTTTAAAGCCTGCCCTCCCTTCTTTTCTCTAGCTAGCATATCCCCTCAACGAATGCTTCTATCAGCCTCTAGATTTTCTCTCGCGTGACATTTTCATACGCGATAAATCTGAGATACTCCACGGGCAGAATTGCAACAACTTGAATCTTATATTACGACGCGATGTTTGTAAACTGACAGGCAAATACTGATAGGTAACAGCAAGCAATAATTTTGCTTTTGCACAAAAATATTATATATAGTAGGTCTTCATTATTCGTTAAGTGTTAAAACTTTATTTTATTTTAAATTAAATGTTACAAGATTAAAAGTACATTTTGGAAACATTACGTTTTAAATTTCACAAGAAATTTGATTTACTTCGTAACAATAGTTGATTAACGCGATTGGATGTATATAAAATGTAATATTCGTGAAAATTAGTAACGCGGTATACATTATACGCATCAACGATGCACGAATAAAATATTCTCTTATCTCGGCAGGTTTACGATTTATGCAAAGTCTATTATCACAGTCGGTCCCGAGAAAGAACAAGTACAAGAATAATAAACATCTTAACTCATTGTCTTTCTCTCTCTCCCTCTCTCCTTTGAAATCTCTTTACACACGAAGAACTCTCATGTTTCTACTTGCAACAAAGGCACCGTAAAGTTGACGTAAAGTACGTTCGCATTCTTTCGTGTAAGTTTGCATTCATGTGCCATATTTTCTTGAGACATTATGTTGCAATATTTTAGTTGATTTATCTGTACAAGTTGGAAAACTCATGATTACGTGGCATTTAACAAGAAAAAACATTGGTCCATGATATTCACTCGAACGAATTTATGGTCAGTTTCATTTATCATGAGATAAACCACTTGAAAGTGTATTAAGAAGCTCGTGATATTTTCCAAAAATTATCTCGTCAAAAATATGATACATAAGTCAAAATACGATGTGATGAATGTTATAACATTTCATGTAAAGCACGTACTGTACATGTATCATACATATGAATTTGTTCAATCTTTAGCAACAGGTATATAACTTTAATCATCTTAATTAATATTTAAAAACGTCTACTATAAATATAATAGATTTCTAAACATATATTATTTGAATTGTTATGTATTATTCGTGCTTTTATTTATTGCGATCGCTCTTGCCGCGATATGTTATAGGATTATAAATATGATATATAAAATGAAAGCGCCGTTGTTCAATATCGTCGTTGTAGCAATAAAAGCTATCTGTGTAATTAAAATTCATATGCTCGCATAAAATACAGTGACAGGCTAAGACCCTCGTGAAACGTTCCGGGACATTTTTCCGATTTCATTTAGTTTTCAAATAATCCTTTTTCTGTCAAAGCTTTGTACGCTATCGTGGTCCAATTTTCATCCAAATTTAATTCATATGAATATTTCTCATCTTTTTTGCGAAAAGTCACGTTTATTAATTATCTCGCCCGTTTGCGCACCGAATTATTGAAGTTTCACGAATGAACTAAGTCTCATCAATAGAATTTAGTAGGAGGAAAATTCGATTTATTCGCTTCGATAAATATTTTCGGGCGCGTCAACATGGAAATAACGTTCTTAACGTTTATGCCGAAAAAAAAATTTCAGCAATTTTCAAAGCGGCCGATGGAAAGAACCTGCCGTTTGTCCCGATTCCGAGAACCATCCCTTCCGTCAAAGGGAAGGGACATATCGAGGTCTGGCCATTCGGTGACCTCAATTCGCTCGTGGAATCAGTAGAAGCCGCCGTAATCAAAGGCTGCTATCCTTCCAGCATGACATCCTTTGTACAAGCGTCCTCGAGGCCTGGGGATCCCACGAAACTGACTTTAGATCAACAAAAGCTACTTGCCGTTCATCGAATTCCAGAGCTGTTCGTTCAGCACAGGATGACGAGTTAGTCTCATATCGGTTACAGCGGTTTGCAGATCGCACTGCACAAGCGGAAATCGATAATATTGTATATCCGAACGACACGATATGAAAACGCATAAAAATTAATGGCGTGCTTTAACGATATGATTTCTAAGTGAAAAGAAAGAATGGAACACTTGAATGATAAAACTACCGAATGGTAGAACCGATAAGATCTCGTTCAAGTATCGACAGCATACAATACTTTTTAATGTAATCTCTCAATGCGGCAAATCATTCTTCCGTTGCATCAACAGCCGACGAATTTCTTATTCGCGACACAGGAATCTTCACACCTTGATAAAGCTGGAAACTGTCATGAAGTGATAAACGACATGTCCTTCCGTAACAGAATGGACGTCTTCCCTATGGGATATCTTATACGTTCAAGTAGCGAATCTTAACCGAGGTACGCTTGACAAAGAGACGGCCCGAGGACCTTAGAATGACCTACTTCCGGGATACGATGAAGAAGGATCTGTTCGTATATCCGCAACTTCCTTTTTACTTCCAACATTGTTATTTCCTGACAATTATAGAATGACGAAGTATCGAAAGAATAACGCTTTACCTTTCTTACTCTTTCGTACTCTACATAAACTGTTAAAGAAATTTCGATTCGTCTAAGAATTATATTTACATCTTTCCGAAGAGAAATAGAATTGTTAGTTTAATTGTTTAGTTTAAATTTATTGTCACAAAAGTCACTGTATGTTAACAATCTCATGTACGCGGATTGAAAAGCAACGCTATGTTTGTTGAATCACTAGTTACTGCTCGGATTATTCTAACGGAGAGTCGCCCCGTCGCCTTAGATAAAATGGCGACGTCTCCCCCAGCGAGACATCTCACTCGAGACTAGCAGATGAAGTTAGACACAGCAGGTGTAACTTAATCAACGTTGACGACGTTGACGAGCAGCCCGCATGAAGGAAGGAAATAAACAATGGAAAGTTCATTACTTCGTAATGGAGGCTGACACCAGTCCTGTTTTGGTGACACAACATTCCAGGCCTCCCTGCGAAACTTTCTTCGAAATATGAAAATACGAGACATGCATTATAATGCACGATACACGAGAAACATATGCCAGTGTCGTTATTCTACTTCACTCGCATTTAACAAGGTTTTAATCGTCGACTTAGAAAGTTTATTTAGCGAGAGGCCAGTGTCATATTTCATTGTGTATGCAGGAAGTATTACCATACCGCCATACCTCCAGAGCCTTTATATTCTTCGCTCCATTAATTTTACTTTCCCAGACAATCCTTATCCTGTTATGCTAAGTACATATCTGACATTTATTGCATTTGTGTCTCATATCGGCAAGCAAAATCTAGATGCTGAAGAATTTCTTCAAGGTGTATTGCATATCCTAAAAGAGTCCTCTCTCCGCTACAACTATTTTAGAATATTATATAACAAACGTCTAACAATTTTTACTTTTCACGGAAAAAACTGATTTAGTTGATTCAGCAAATCTATAGTTTGCTGAACAAAATTAAACGTTTTAAAGAAGTAAATTTGCTAATGCAGCAAAGAAGTCGTGTGTAAGAGCAATCGTTACTTTGTTCATAAAACAAATCGATTTTTGCTGAAATTATCTTACAATTAGTTAGAAGAAGTCCTGTCTGGAGACGATACATTTCTTTTTAGTATGTACCGTCTCCAAATAGAACTTCTTGTTCTCTTCCACGCCTCTCTTTATACCCTACGAGACTGAATTTTGCTTCCGAGTTTTTGGCCGCCACCATGCGCGGCCTAGCGGCGGTCGGCGAACTACTCAGAGGCTGGCGCTAGCTACGTCTCGCACTTAGCGAAAATGATTTGTTGCAGTAACTAAGATAATTTCAGCAAAAATCGATTTGTTTGATGAACAAAGTAACGATTGCTCTTACACACGACTTCTTTGCTGCATTAGCAAATTTACTTCTTTAAAACGTTTAATTTTGTTCAGCAAACTATAGATTTGCTGAATCAACTAAATCAGTTTTTTCCATGCATATTGCGATCGCCACAATAATAATTGCAGAGTAAATGTTTTAATGAGCATTACTTTACCTAATTTTAATTGTTGGCGTAACTAATAATTTTGCTATAATAGGATTTATTAATACACCT